CCATTGGGAATAGGTTGGGCTGTCAAAGGGAAGACAGGGTTGCAGTTTATATGGGAACCTGAAGCACATCTTACTAATGGAAAGGAGGTTTGTCTTATGATATTGAACTGAGGATCTACTTTTGGGTTGGGGGTGTTAAAATGGTTCTCTGAATCCATTATGATTTATTTTGTTTTTTCTTAATAAAATTTCTGTATCAGAAGTCTAACTTAAGAGTTTATTCTTAAAGCAATTAGACTGTTAGAGTATTCTAAACTCTAATTACTGGTTTATAATTAATACATAAAATATACATAAAAAGTGACGTATTTATTTAATCTACATCATCAACAACCTGTTTAAAATAATGCAAAAATTATATATATAAAAAAAGAGTAAACCATTTACTTGTTAACGAATCTTTTCTATGCTGCTGAAGATGACCTAAAGTGTTTTAATTCAAAACCCTGAGGCTTTAAGAAATTGACTTATGTGCTTATCAAAATAATCAAATTCCTGTGGAGCATGTGCAGTTTTATATATAGGTTAACAGCACTTTACATTAATGCAGTGCATCAATAAATCCATTTTATAATGTGCTATATCCTTTCTCTACACTATATATGTGAACCTCCTATGTATATCAAAACTGAATAAATGAAAAATAAACACACTGAACACTTTTAAATCACATATATCTGAACAATTAAATGGTGGAAATATCATACTGGGGAGACAATGTATAGAGACAGAAAACTGACTTATGGATGAGAACAATTACAATGGTGGAATAAGAGAGTGAAAAGCGAAGGTTAACATGTAAGCTAACACATAAAAAAGTGGCACCAGAAAGACAAGTACATGTGTGGACACTTACCACTTAACTTATCAAGGGCTGCTGATATCAAGTATATCCTTCATTAATACAAGAGAAAGAAAAAGTATCTTTCTGTTTCTTTTTCTGCATATCCTGATAGATACATGAATAAACAAAATAAGAAAGAGGAAAAAAATACACAAGCAGATACTTACTTGCTTTTTCATTTGAATTCTTAGTTTTCCATATCATTACAGATATATAAAAACATCCTCAGATTACCTGATAAGCTGGTTAATACTGTCCACATATGCACATTGGCCATACTTAAGCTAAAGCAAGGTCTACACATCACCATGTGGGTTAACAAAGTAGGCGCAACCTTCTCCTAGGATGGATAATGTAGGCTAAGTTACTTCCTTGTTAAAGGGAATCTTCTCTCAAAGAGGATATTTCTAGGAGGAATGCAGTATACATCTCATGGTGACTGACTAATTTGCTAAATGTCAAATTGTGGAAAGGGGCAAGGGAAGTGGGAGGGGGAGGAAGGGGAATCTAGATAAGAAATAAAAAAAGTTAGGGTCAAAATAATCATAGTAAGGGTTCTTACAAGTGCATGGAACATAAACCACACACTTCTTGGTCTAGGGAAAAACTGAAGTGATGAGCGAAGTAATAAATGACCAGTCAACGATTACTCAATGTGATGTGGTTTCTGTTCAAACACGAGTCTATATTGAGGCTCAGCATGATTTCATGTTGACTGGGAAGAGCGACTGTAATCTAAAAATACATACATACAGGTGTGAAGCCATGGCAACATAATGAATAAAGATCTTTTTAATTCATTTTAGGTAACCCTCACATATATTTCAAAATCTGTAAGGTCAAACTCTAAAAATGTTTTCTATACTTAATACTTGCATCTAAGAAAGAGGTCTCATTTCAAACTAAAAAAAAGTCCCTTTTCCTTTTTTATCATCTCAAAATGTAGGCATGAAATAACAATTTCATATATTTATATATAATATATATATATATATATATATATATATATTATATATATATATATATATATATATATATATATATATATACGTTCTTTCAGGTGTTAGTCAGAATTTCCCAGTGAATCAACATTGACCTTGGCAACGCATCTGTACATATCAAGCAAGGAACATATGTCATAAATATACTGGTGTTGGAAAGTTTTCAAGAAAAGTTCTTACGTGCAGCAAAGGTTTGAGGGAGGCCATTGGCAAAGACAGCCTCGCTCCCGCCTGGCTGGCTATTGGGCCCTGGCTGAGGAGCTATATTGAAATTCTGCATCGTAGGGGAAGGCATGGAGGGCAATGCGCCGTTTACGGGCTGAGCTTGACTGGCACCTGGGGAGACATGGCAACACTCATCAGGCGCAGAGCAGGTGGCGGGGGGAGTCTCCAGGGGCTGGGGAGCCACCTGGGACTGTGAGGGGAGGGGGGTGAGTGCGTCAGGGGCAGGAGGCCTCCTAGGGTCAAGATGGACGCTTCTTTGGCTACTGTTTTAACGAATGTACGATCAGATTCAACTCTGATTTTGGTTTATGAGCGAGTAACAGGGAAATATGTTATGTCTTTGGAATGACTGTTGAGTCTCTTACCACTTAGTATCAAATTTTGGCTCATTAGTAAAAATTCACTTAATGAGGCTCTTCACAAAAGCAAGTCTAATGTTATCAAATCATTTTCTGTTTAAGGATAAAATAGGAAAGGAAAAAAAAATGTTTCTGATTTTTTTTAACAGGAAAGCATCAATATTCCAAATCTTAATCCAAATGAATATGGTGTGTGAGAGGGAACCACAGTGCTCTGCGCATTTTTCTCTTTTGTTTAGAACCAAGCCTACAGGTGCAAAACATTCTACATCATTAAGACAGATCCATGTTAAACAATATCCCTGGGGCCCAGCTTATCCTGAAATCAATACAAATCTTTAAGTGGGAAAACTGAAAGTTAGTAAACATCTCGTCAAGGAGAAATGGTATGTCAAAAAAGGTAACTCTGTAGGAGTTGATTATAGCTCTGTTACAAACACTTCCATTTGACGAGATGATGCGCCACTGACATCTTTCAGAGAGAAGGCTTGGTGTTAAAAATAAACTATTGCTATACAATCAAACTGAACTACAAATATGCTCTCTAAGGTAACAATCTCCTTTATTTTTAACAACCAACTCCTCTTCTCTTAAACATCAATTAAACTGACCAAAAAAAGAAAATAACTTAAGGAAAAAAAAAAAACAAGAAAGAACAATACCAGCACAGATTTTTTGCAAACATCAACAACAAATACACAAATAACACAAATGATCAATTATCAACGGCGTTAACGAAGTGAAAAAAGAGTTATGGTGAAACTTCCAGACAATCATTAATGTTAATCTCCCTCAAGCAAAGATGATACTTTTACAGATGATCTCAATGTTAACTTTGCAAACGCCGCCTTTCTATCACAGACAAGGTGTGAGTTACACTGGGGTGCCACAACAACACTCAGAAGGAGGGAAGATGCATAGAGACATGGAAGAGAAGGAAAATCTTGATGATAAAAAACATATTTAGGAATAAGCCAAGTTTGCAAAGAGGCCAAGAATAAAAGCTCATATGTCAAACTAATGAATATTCCTATATACGAAGTCTAAGCTTCTTGTAACTTTATTTTCATTATCCAAACCAGTTAATAAAGAGTGGTTGCTATAAAACTTTGATATCTGTCCCTGAAAGAAATTTCCTTTTTTGGCAGACACATGAGTTTTATTCAGTGCTTTCTTTATAGTACACACTAACTTTGAGTTCCATAAACAGATGAATGTGTTGATGAGGTGAATCTGATCCCATATGATCTGTTATCAGTTACATTTTCTAATCTAAAGCAATGTAGAGACAGCCCGAATTCTTGACAAAGACTCTAGTCATCTGGTATTTAAAATAGTTCAAAAAGAGGAAGTTAAGAAAAAAAAATCAGGGTAAGCTTGGCTGCCTCTGATCATTTAACTACACAGACACTTGAAAGACACAGGAGAGTGAAGAGAACCAGCCAAAGATAGGTCATAATCTTGATGATGAGCATTAGAGAGAAACTTGGAATTTCCTTCTGATAAAATTATTTTTCCTTAGAATTCGGGCATGTGACTTGGTGGCTAAACTAAGGCTTGACCGGGGATGACTCTCTCTACTAAACTTACCAACTTTTGGACTCTGAATGTCCCACACCAATGGCACAGACGCTGCAAAGATGGAATGGCGTCTGTTAGCGCAAGTAATGTTTACTTCATGTTGTCTTCTTTTTGGGGGGAGGGGTAATGGGCATGATTCTGCGTGGTCTTATCATGAGACATCAATCACTTAATGGTGATAAATTAACTTACTCTGAACATAGTAGTGAAAGCAATCACTAACAATATTACAAACCAAAAACTGACTTTCCTCTAAAAAGTAATTTTTTTTTTTTTTTTTATCAAGGTATCAGTTATTATCTACTAATGGAATTATCCATTAAATAAATAATAAAAAAAATATATAAAAGTTAGTTCTACATTTTTTCACTAGCAATATACATTTTCATTCTGTACTACTGTTAAATTTTATACCTTTACTATTATTTAATTTCATTTCTATAATCCTTATTGCAAAAAAAGGAAAAAACATCAATATTCAGTCATATATTAAAAGTTCAAAGGTGATGGCCAGGGCCAGAAAAACATTTAAATCTTTTGTCAAATCATACTTTTTGGTATCATATGATAAATACAATCAACAACTGAATTTAAACCTGATGAGTAATTTTAATGACATTTTCCCCTAAAGACCCATCGCCATATAACAAATCTGAATTAGGACAAAGCGAGGGTACTCCTTCCTAAGCCTGTCCTACTTCCTCTTTTCATTCATTCACTCTCATCTATATTTTTGTCTATCTGCAACTCTCATTCAATCATTCACTATTTATTTTGCTTATTCATTCATCTTCTTTCTCTCATTTATTCATTCTCTTTCTTTCATTCATTCATTCTGTCTCTATTCCTCTCTCTCTCTCTCTCTCTCATGCTTTCTTTCTGTCATTCACATGTTCATCCTTTCTTTTTGTCTGCCTGGCAAAGTACAGGGATTAGTGGCTACTTTGTTCACTGCTCAACTTACTCTAAACTTAGCTACTGCACCTAGGCCTACTCTACTACACCTCTATTTTCATTCATAAAGCTGATACGATATGAGTTAATTCCACTCTAAAATATTGGCACAATGTTATCAAAGCTACCCTTGATTTTCTGAAGCTCAAATTTGTTTCTGTGTCCACGCACATTTTATGGGCGATTTTCATCAAAATTACTTAGCAGATCAAGTTCATTTGTTGACATGAAGTATTAAATGGTACCAAAGAATAGATTTTGTTAAAGTCATAATGGCACTGGCATTCACCTTTCAAAAACAATACCTTAGACAATAAGATTTATCATTCAATCAACATTCATCACAATGTACTTTTTTATTTTATCTATTTTTTATTGTAAAGTCAAAGTAGAAAATTTTGCTTTAATAACTCATAAAATTTTTGGTATTCAGTACATTGTTAACATCTAAAGCAATTATACTGCATTTTAGTACTATTTCTTCATATTGTCACACTTAATAATAATAATGATAGTAATCAATTTTTCATACTGTTGACTTTTAACAAAATATTAAACAGATGTCCACAACTAAAACTGAAATAAATATTTCTTTGAAAAAATGTACAATCTCAAAAATCTATGCAAGACGGACATATGAATTGTGGCTGATATAAAATTACAATCTTATGTTACATCAATCTGGGTGTTTTCCTATATTTCCACAAAACTTCCATTCAGAGAATAAGGGACATAGACACTAAATTCAAAATTAAATATTCTCAAATAGTGTATGGAAACTTCTATACCATAATTAAATAGCTTTTTTAAAACATCACCATTTACTTTTATCTTCAAAAAGATAAAAAGATAAAGACTGCAAGTTACAAATATCATGGAATATCACACAAATTTGACTAGCAAAAAGAGTTGGAAACATATGGTATTAGAATGTCAAAATCTACCATATATCACAGTATAAAAATACTACTGCTTCACTAATATTAAAAAGGAACAACATATATTCTCCATCTAAAACATTGTCTGCTTATTAATGGTTCATATTTTTATCTTTTAAAACATTTTTGTAGGGTATTGTGGTGATCAGACAAGATTACAGATTCTTTAAACTTTCAAAACATGAAAAAACTAACAATAAAAAAATGGCCACAAATAATATTTATTGATATCATCTCATTATATAATTTGTAATTTTCTGCCTAAATGAACTTCAGATACATAATGCTGTCCAATCAATTAAGAACCTAAATTACTGATATTCAAAATATGCCTTCCAGAAAAGCATTGAGTCATTATCCTTTCTCAAAAATAATTCTTCATATTCAGAAAGTCACATCAATGGTGTTGTAGAAGTCTAGTTGCTTCAGATTATACTGGTACACACAAAGGTTTTCCATGTACAATGTAGAGCAATTGTAGATACCACAGAGCAGTCCATGATGAACTGCATCATCTATTACTTTTGAAGAATATAGAAAAGATTAACACTGCCCTATTATGATGGATCATGGGATGATAACCATAGACATGCACCAACTACCATACACACAGCTACCCTGCCGGAAGGTGATAACCGAACACAAGCTTGAGAGGTAGTGACCATATACAAGCCTTTAAAAAGTGATGACGAAACACAGGCTGGATGACTACTCAACATGTCCATCCCTAGAGCAAATGAGAAACAAGGTCTGACACCAAAAGAAAAAAATAAAGAAAGAAACGGTTTAAAAAAAGTAAAAAAAAAGAAATACCAGGAAGAGAAGCCACCAAAAGAACTGAGAAATTCCCATCAGATTATGTGGTCTTACCGGAAGTGGGCGGGACAACTGGGCTGGTGATGCCATTGGCCAAGGGTGCTCCAGCATGAGGCATCTGGGTGGCAAGGGCAGCCATAGGGTTGATGTATGTGCCCTGTGTAGCTGCTGCCATCAGTGCTGCCTGCTGTTGCATGAACTGCTGCTGTAGGTTATTCAGTTCTTGTTAGGAGTAATGTTTCTGTGATTTTCACTTTTGAATAAAGATTTTCATATGAAAGTGATTAGATAACAAGAAGAGGAATGTGAATGTAGATTTTAAAAAGGATACATAAGTCAAAACTGTTTGCTGAACACAACGCTAGCTTTACCAGATTTACAATATTACTTATTCGTCAAAAAGCTAGCTAAATATCTTTTATTTTTTCTTGACTAATAAACCAGATCAATGCTTAAGTTATACTTTTAATTATATATTTTAATAAATACCTTCACATGAAAAAAAAAAGAATCACGAAAAGTATCTAATTCATAAGTATCTTCAAAACCCAAACAACAAAATGCAAAAAACCAACCTCTGTGACATTAACTTGAGCATAGGCCCCATAAGCCCCAAACTGGTTGAAGACAAAAGGGTTGAGGAGACCCATATTTCCAGCCATTTGTTGCATACGTCTAAGCCCCCCAGATCACACTCAGGTCGACCACACAGGATTGAGGAGACCCATTATTTTCCAAGGCCAGTTTGGTTGCATAACGTCGAAGCCATGCCTAATTCCTTA